TCCGACGTGAGGAGTCTCTCTCCTGAGGAATCACATCGCTTCCTTCGCGAGCAACCAAAGCGCCCGGGAAGGCGAGCGCGCACCACACCTAGGGAGGAGTAGAGCATGCGCAGTTGGACCCGCGTACCTGGAGGGTGGGAAAAAGGGAGGGGAAAATGGAGGGCAGTCGCGAGCTGGCTTGCCCAACCCTCCCCCTCAGCGTCGAACCAGCTAAGCTGGCCCGGCGCCAGCAGGGCGCTTGGTTCGGAATGCGCGCAGGAGGGCGAGGCGCGGCGCGGGTGGCGGGGCTCCTGAGGGAGGGCGCCTCCTTCCAACCCGAGCCACGGGCGGGCTCAAGAGTCACCCGGAAAAGGCGGCGGGAAGAGCATCCCTTTCGTAGATGTGACCTGTTCCCCTGAAACTCACCTGCGGGCGACAAACTGGTTGTTCCTGTTGTCTCTCCACCGGGAGGGCGCGCGCTCGCGGTCGCTTTTCCAGCAGGGGCGAGGGGTTTCGAAACAGGAGCTGCGCGTCGCCTTCCCTTCACGGTTTCAGCCGCACGAAGGAGCAGCCAAGGGCTGAGCGGGATTCCACAAAGTGCCTGCTTTCGTTCCGCTTGGAGTTTCAGGCTGGTGACGATCCAGGGTGGTTCCTGGCAGACCCTTTTCCTTGAGTAAAGTCTGCCTCATGGTCCCTTTCTCTCTTCCGGTAGACTTTTGAATGAGCCACCTAAAGAAAAAGGCAGGAAATAAGAACAAGGGAGGACTCTTCTGTTCTCTGGTTAACGTATTTTCAAATATAACCTTATGCCTTTTCAAAAATAATTTATTTTTAAAACCAAAGATACACAAAACTATACATTAAACAATACAGTATTTAATAACAAAAGGATAAATAACTACAATCGTAACTCAAATATTTAGTGTAACCTTTGGGAACATATATACAGTATTTATGTTCATACATAAATACATTAGTCTTAATTTATATCATGTGCCCCTTTCCAAAAATATGACACATGTTGGGGTATAACCCTTGCGTTTAGTAAATACATATTAACCTTATGCTTTTAATTTCTGAATTTAGGGCTCATTCAGGTGGGCGTTAATCCCTTTTCTGGTGTGTTGCAGGGGTTGCTTGGTTCACTCTTTTTCCAGCAACTACATGAGGTAAGGGCTAGAGCAGACCAATGTGTGCCCAGAGCATCCCAACTCACACCGTTTTGAGCTATTTCTTTGGTGCAGGTTGTTGTGCTGTAGTTTAGGCTGTTCCCAGTACACAATCACTTCGTCCGTTTGTTTAGTCGTTCTGTCGTGTCCAATTCTTCGTGACCCCATGGACCAGAGCACTCCAGGCCCTCCTATCTTCCACTGCCTCCCGGAGTTGGGTCAAATTCATTATGGTAGCTTCAATGACACTGTCCAACCATCTCGTCCTGGGTTGTCCCCTTCTCCTCTTGCCTTCACACTTTCCCAACATCAAGGTCTTTTCCAAGGAGTCTTCTCTTCTCATGAGATGGCCAAAGTACTGAAGCCTCAGCTTCAGGATCTGTCCTTCCAGTGAGCACTCAGGGTTGATTTCCTTTAGAATGGATAGCTTTGTTCTCCTTGCAGTCCAGGGGACTCTCAAGAGCCTCCTCCAGCACCACAATTCAAAGTCATCAGTTCTTCAGCGGTCAGTTTTCTTTATGGTCCAGCTCTCACTTCCATACATCACTACAGGAAAAACCATAGCTTTGACTATGCGGACTTTCGTTGGCAAGGTGATGTTTCCGCTTTTTAAGATGCTGTCAAGGTTTGTCATCACTTTCCTCCCAAGAAGCAGGTGTCTTTTAATTTCGTTGCTGCTGTCTCCATCTGCAGTGATCATGGAGCCCAAGAAATTAAAATCTGTCACTGCCTCCATATCTTCCCCTTCTATTTGCCAGGAGGTGATGGGACCAGTGGCCATGATCTTAGTTTTTTTGATGTTGAGCTTCAGACTG